TGGCCGTGTCTCACACCTGGCCGTGTCTCACACCTGGCCATGTCTCACACCTGGGCGTGTCCACACCTGGCCGTGTCTCACACCTGGCCATGTCGCACCCGGGCATGTCCCACACCTGGCCATGTCCCACACCTGGTCGTGTCCCACACCTGGCCGTGTCTCACACCTGGCCGTGTCCCACCCGGGCGTGTCCCACACCTGGGCATGTCCCACACCTGGCCGTGTCCCACACCTGGCCGTGTCCACACCTGGCCGTGTCGCACGCCTGCCCGCGCCTTACCGTGGCAGCGGTGCCCGTCGGCGCCCAGGACGAAGCCGGGCCGGCAGCGGCAGCGGAAGGAGCCGAAGGTGTTGAGGCAGAGCTGGGAGCAGCGGGCGCCCATGGAGCACTCGTCCACGTCTGGGGGCAGGGGCGGCTTCGGGAGGGGGCCCGGGGGCGCCCCCAGCCCCGAGAGCGCGGGGGAGGGTCTCCCCGCCGTGCCGGGGGGGTCGGGGGGGGCTCTGACCGAGGCAGGAGCGGCCGTCGGGGCCGAGGCTGAAGCCGGCGTGGCAGCGGCAGGCGAAGGCTCCGGGGGAGTTGGCGCAGCTGTGCTGGCACCAGCGGAACTGGCACTCGTCCTCATCTGCACCAGAAACGCCCAAACCCACCCCAAAACTGCCTCCTGAACACCCCCGGGGACCCACACCCAGAGGTCATTCCTGTATGCACCAGAAACACCCAAAAACACCCCAAAACCACCCTATGAACATCCCCAGGGACCCACACCCAGCACTCGTCCTCATCTGCTCCAGAAACACCCAAATCCACCCCAAAAACGCCCTGTGAGCACCCCTGGGGACCCACACCCGGGGATCATTGCTGTCTGCAGCAGAAACACCCAAAAATACCCCAAACCTGCCCAAAAATGCCCCCGGGGACCCACACACGGAGGTCATTGCTGTCTGCACCAGAAACACCCAAACCGGCTCAAACCAGCCCAAACCAGCCCAAACCCAGCCCAAACCAGCCCAAACCAGACCAAACCAGACCAAACCCAGCCCAAACCGGCCCAAACCCAGCCCAAACCGGCCCAAACCAGCCCAAACCGGCCCAAACCAGCTCAAACCCAGCCCAAACCAGCCCAAACCCAGCCCAAACCCAGCCCAAACCCAGACCAAACCCAGCCCAAACCAGACCAAACCCATCCCAAACCTGCCCAAACCTGCCCAAACCCAGCCCAAACCTGCCCAAACCTGCCCAAACCCAGCCCAAACCTGCCCAAACC